TTTATAAAACCAATATTAGAGTATACAATAAAATAACAAAATTGTCCAATTATACCTAAAATATCTTGCTGCAAAATAATTTGAAATATAGGAAACAATACTCCTTCGAATGAACCAACTCCTTCAGGTGTTACAGTGCAGACTAGTCTAATATAAAAAAAACAAAATAATATACACTATAATTCTATTTAAATTTAAATAAAATTAATAATTTACGAATGTTGAAATTTAATTTTCAATTAAACTTACTTTACACAAAATGAAATGGTTTCAAAAAGAAAATGATTGAATTCTGGCTGACTAGGATTACGAGCAACAATAGTAAGTTTGTCGGTCAGGACAGGTAAGAGTTCAGCCAAAAGGGGAATTATTTGTTGTTTCAGTGTGAAAAATGTTCTCATTATAGCTATTAATATAAAAAAATGTTTATATTACACATAATAACAATCAAATAGGAATAAAAATAATTATTAACATTACCTTTCATTGTGTGGCTATTTTCTTCTGAGCCAGGTTTTGTTAAAATTCCAAAAAGAGATTTAATTAGTTGTTCTGCAAACGGAGATAATGTAGCTGCATCAACCCTAAACATAAAATAAACATAATAATAGATTTATAAATTCTTAATCATAAATTAATTTTTTTTATAATAATTAACATAATATAATTAATGAAAAATATACCCACACTGGAATTTTAGAGTCAGGTCGTTTCAAAAGTAAAATTTTATCAATAGCAGCTGCAGCATAAATTCTAACAACTACACTCTCGGCTTCTAAAAGCTTTGTGAGTGCTGGTAATGTGCTAACAACAACTTGAGGGGGTAAGACACTACGAAACGTTACTATATATTTAATTGCATCAGCTTTCATGACAGGCATTCCATTAACTAAAGACATTAAACATAGATACATTTATTAACATACTTATAAACAATTAAGTAATTTTTATAAACATTTATACATATTAAGGCACTGTGAACTCACTATTTGGTTTTGCCAGTTCAGGTAATACATGCATAGTGGTAAATTCTTCTAAATTAACAAGTTCACTAATTTTAGTGGTACCATGACGTTGAGTACTACCCCGTGAAGCTAGCGTTGTTACCAAAAATAATGCAGCATCTTTACTACGCCAATTTTGTTCATTAGCTGCATATTGCTCTAACATAGACTAAAATAAAAACAAAAATGTTAGTTTATATTAATAAATATGTATACATATGTGTGTATTTTTAAAATTTAAATTAAATAATACAAAATTATCTTACTTTTACATATAAACCAAATGAAGACATAGTAACTTGTTCAAACTCCTTTGAAAGTGCCTTAACTAGATCACATGCTGCTCTTCTTCTTGTATCCACATCAGAACCTTCAATGTCTCTTCTAATATATTCTTCTGGGTTGTCTTCAAATAACTCTTCATCTGATGCTATAGTGAAACATGGACTAATTAATAAAATATAGATAAAACTGTATACATTTAATAAAACAAATAGTCATTGTTTCTAATACCTTCATTCATTTAATAATAAAAAAATAACTTTTTGCATACCTTTAAACTGCATATTAGGAATAGCAACTTTTTCACAAATAGCAGAAAAAACTGATGGATCATCAAAAAGGTCACGGTACTGTGGTTTAATAACAGTTGTTGACAAAAATTGCAAGGCATTTATAACAAGCTAAATAAATGATAACGTTTTTTTAAATAAATAAACATAAATTTGATTAAATTTTAATAAAAATTATTAATTTAAAAAATAAATGATAAATCTTTACTGTGTCATATTTAGGTTGTGATCCAGTCTTAATTAATAATTTCCAAATAATTGTAACTAATGATCGCATAAAAGATGAAAATTCTTCTTCATATTTTTGTGCATATAATGATATATTTTCACAAATTTGTGATTGAATTTGATGCAATACACCAGTTTCATCATCACTCTGAGAAAAAATAATATTTATATATAATATACACTAGTAAACATATTTTTTATAATAAAAACAACCTCAGTTTCCAATTCTTTAATTTCTAATTCTAATAATTTCTGGAAATTGCCAATCCAAATTTGCATATTATCTTCAAAAAATTCTGGAAGATCCTATTTAATATTAAAATAATTAATAATTTTTAAGTCACTAGAAAATAAAAATAACAATGTTTAATTACCTGATAGTTTAATGAATAAAATATTTTAGTCAATACAAGTATTACATTATAAACTTTAGGATCTTTTGAAACTTCACATAAATTCATAGTAAGCTGGAAATAACTTTCTATTAGTAACTTAATAATGCACATTTTATTTCATACATAAAAATAATAACTTTAATTTGGGGAATTTAACAAACTTACAACAAATAATTCAGTTAAAGGTTTGGCAAAAGTGTCTAACACAAATTTTATTTCAGTCCAAAGCTTTTGTGACTTAAGCTCATATCTATATTTTCTAAACAACGAATGAGCAGTTTCTAATGCTCCATTTATAGGTGTTAGATCGCTTGCTGGTGCATCTATAACATATCATAGTATTACATTTTATAATATAAAAACAATATGTAACAAAATAACGAATACTCATACTAGCAAATGCAGCAAAGTTTTCAATAAGTGTTGTCAATAAATTTGGCCATTGGTCTGGGAAATCATATTTGCCTATAAGTGAAATAGCATCACTTAATTGCTTTTGAACAGCATCTGGAGCACTCAACATAACAGTCACAATTTGTTCTTTTATTAATATACGATCTTCTTGATGTATTTTGTTTTGAAGTGTGTCTTCATCCTAAAAAAATTACATTTTTGATAAATCTAAGTAATAAAGTACCACATGTTATTTATCAATGATTTTAACTACATAATTACATTTTTTTTTTTAAAGAAAAAATATTAAATTATGTTATATTTTTTTATTTTTCTAGTAATAGCTTATAACATTCAACACAATATTTTACTTATTTTAAAAATAATCAAGAAATTAACTATACTTTAAAACTTATGGCAACTAATAATGGCTAATGAAGGTTGTATAATAAAATATGTAACAGCTTATTAGTTATTTTTAACTTGATTAGGATGATTTCATAGTCAATTATAGTCAAAAAAATTGAATTCCTTAATTCAAAACAATAATGTGTCTGTGAGGATTCTAAGAGTTGTAATTAATGACTAAATATATTTAATTCCAGAATGTTTAATAAGTTGTAGAGGTAATATTAATAACAGATATGAAATAATGTGCTAATTAACTATTGGAAACTTGTTATAAAAATTGGAGAAAAATTATTATTCCTGTAATTTAAAACATTTTAATGTTAAAAATTAACTAATATACTTACAATAGGCCAATTTCGTTTAATATAATTCTTAAATGTAACTGATCCAATTTTCTTAACCAAATCAACATTGACGTCATTTGGTGCACTGATAATGTGAAGTAATAATAATGGATAATTTTTATTACATTCAATTGAAAGTAAGAAGTTTTCAGCTACAAAATGAACAAAATAGGTATTTCATTATAATTTATGTTGCAGATAATTACAATTAAATGCTGTTAATTATTCTTACCTTGTTTGCGTTCACTTGGATCAGGACTTAATGTACCCTGGAGGCATTTCACCAAATTATTAATATTATCAGTTGAAATTTCCATCTATAAAAAAAATAAAAATATTTACTTTACAATACACATTACATAGTAATTGTAAATAATCTCCAACTCACCGTAGAGCACGTTTAAATAAGTGAAGAAAAAAAATTGATCTGGATATGTATAAATTATTGTAACCTATGTCCTATACTAATTTAGATGAAAAATGTAGGTGAAGAAAACGTATAGATACTTTAAAAATATATTTAGAGAAATCCGGAAATAAATTTTAACGTGTATTATTACTATAATACTAAAAACAAATAAATCACGTTATGATTTTAACAACCGTTCCTTCGAAAATAACGAAACTTCGGCTAAGCGGCCAAAGAAAGACCAAACAAAACATTATCAATTTTATTAGCTAAAACTGTTTATCTATCAGGTTTACCACACTAATTATTTTCAAATGCTAACTTGCTGATATATTATGATTTAATAAATAATAAAATTTACTAATTTGTGCTATTTTAGTATTATTCCATAGAATAGATTTTATTTATACTTTGAATACACTACTTTTTAAGTAACATTAACATTCAACACACTTGAGATTAAACAAAACAAACCACTAGAAAACGTGTATTGTGTGGTTAGTAAAATTATCTTTTAAATATTTTCTTAAATCGTACTAATCGAAGATTATACTATCAAAAAACCCATAATTATGTTATTTTAGTTAATTATTTACAAATTAAATTACTCTTTTACTTTTATCTTTGATTTGTTAGTCGTAAGTCGTAACTTGTTTTAAAATAGACGGTTAGAATTATTGACATTAGATGCATGGTCTTATAACTTAATCATTTTAATATGTTCGTTGTTCATGGTATGACAGTGGCGCCAATCTGTTTTTAAATCACTAGGTTAAAAAAATTAACTATAATTGTATTTACCTTAAACATAATATTTCGCCATGCAATGTATTTTTAAAACATACAATATCGTGTCTGTAACTGCGATATCATGAAAATGAAAATCTCCCATCCCAATGTTTGAATTTGTCTTACAAGGACACCAACCTAGTTACAATTTTCTGGGGTATTCACTAACCACTTGATAGTCAAGATTAACTCAAATGGTTCGAACGAAAATTGTTAGAAAAGAGTTTTTAAAATCTCAAGACTTATTGAAGAATCAAGAAAATTTAATTTTTAGATATAATGTATCTGTCATCTGACATCTATCGAATCTGTAACGATAGTTTGATATCCCATCACCTCAAAGAAAATCATATGTTTTGTTATCGTTGTAAACATAGTATATATAATATATATAATATATATATATATATTATATTATGTACTTGTATGTTAAAAATTATACGAGCTGTACCTCCTGTCGCTCTATGATAACGCTGATAAAAATGAAAATTTTTCAGATTTCAGAATAGGAATTTCAGAATATTCAATAGGTAGAGAGTTATCTACTGGTATTTTCCCAATTTTTTAGTTTTATTCTTATATAATATAGTAAGAGGTATTACATTTTACCTTACCATGTCTTATATACCGTATGAGATAATTACTCATAAAAGACAAGTATGTTCACTTTATAAAAAAGCATGCAGGACCATCGAGGATTGGTATCATTACAGGTAAAACGCTTAATTTTTGAGATCTAATAATAAAATATCTATAATTATTATTAAGTCTAATATTAGTATAATAAATATCATTATTACTCTTAAGATAAATATATAATTATACCAACAAAATTATCAAAAAAAAAAAATTTTGTACTTAGTTTTATTGTAAATTAAGTGTTAATGTGTAACCCTGGGTTATTTTAATCATCTATAACTGTCCAAAAATTTGTAGTATAAAATATTACACTTTATAGATTTAAATTGTGTAAATTGTTTTATTTAATTATAAAGGTCACAGCTAAAGTTGACATTCAAATTATTAAATTAATATTAAGCGTGGTTACAATACTTGTGATGTGTTATTCTCTAAAATGTATTAATAAATAGCTATAATACTTTACCTATTGTTTCATTCTTTACTTTATTTTTTCTTAGACCATTGATGCGAATTAATATTATTCGCTTAAGAAAACGTTTTGATGACAACAAGAATATAATAGATGTACCAACTGCACAAGAATTGTTAAAAAAAGGTCAACATGAGCTATGGGCTAATCAACATTATTATCCTCATCAGTGTAAGTAAAAACTTATAGACTATAGTTAAATCAAAATTCACTAAAAACTATAAAAATTACATTTTTTTAATTTCATTTCTAATATTCTATACCTATTTAATAGTTTTCTTTTCTGTTGATATAAATATGATTTGTATTGTTAAAATAAAGTGAAAGGTATTTTAGAATAACATGAAATTTTAGCATACCTAATATGACCTCTACATTTTAAAAAGTGGAGCCCTTGTATATGAAGAAATATTAATATTAATATTTAATAGGTATTTAGGTACAAGTAAAGTATATTACTAGTGCCTATTATGTTATATCAGTAGAAGTTCTTATTAATTCTAATTTAATTACTCTATAAACAAGACATGGTGTTTGGTAGTGGCATATCTTGGTTCCGTGAAAATTTAATGAGTATTGAATGTAATACAGTAGTTCCCAACCGGGGTGACATGTCACCTTAGGATGACACAGACCTAGCTTAGGGGTGACGCAGAATTTTAACAAGAAAAGAAAAAAAAATTAATTTTTTCAAAAACAATCATATTACCTATTTCTTATAATAAATATATTATACACCTATACCACCACTATCATGTACATAACATACCTCAAAGTTCGTATCTTTATAATAGTTTGTATTATTTATATTTAATCTTTTGGTCCGATAAACACGTGTACCTAGTCATTTGTCGTGCGATACACAGCTAAGATTGTTTATTATTTTGATGTTTGGGTGACACAGTATTTGGTTCTAGTGACTGAAGGTGACACGAATCAAAAAAGGTTGAGAACTACTGATGTAATATCTTATTATTTATAATTGAGTCTTTAAAAAATAATCATTAATATTAAAAATTAAATATGGGTAATTGATTTAACTTTTTTAATTATTTGTGCTATTCTATGCTAATATTATTTATTTTATAGTTCCATCTTCACCTGGCGGAACAGCCTTTGACCGAGATTGTTTCCCTCCCGACTGGGTTTTGGATTCTTGGCATCCATTAGAAAAAGCACAGTATCCAAAGTACTTTGCTAAAAGAGAAGAACGCAAAAAAGAATACATAGCATTATGGGAAAAACGCTGGGGAAAGCCATTCATTCCACATGACGATCATTAAATTAATTTTCTTTATGTGGATTGTAGTGGAATATTGATTGTTGCTAATTAGCGATTGTTATCATAAAATAATATGATGTATCTTGTATGTAAAATAAATAATAAATAAACTTAGATTTCTGAATTAAATCATCATTTTCACTTTTAAATTATATTCTTAACTTTTACTATAGGTAACTAGTAATTGTTTAAAAAGTAAAATAATAAAGTAACTAAATTTTATTATTTAATAAAAATATCGAGGAGTCATATTATGTTGTATTGAATAGTATCATTATTTATATTTTTAATTTTAAAGTTATTAGTCAGTCTACATGCTAACAACCAATAATTGTTAAATTGATACATGAAATAAGTCATCCAATATTTTTTAAACATTATACAATATTCAATATAAATTACTTAAATGAGTATTTTTCATAATTTAACCATGAGATATACAGTATAAAATACTCTTTTCAATAAAATATGTTTTAATTAATGTAAGTAACCTTATATATTATGATAATGTTGAATGACCAAAGTATTTTAATAATGAATTTAAAAATTACTTACACATATTACATACTTCATTAAGTTCATTACTTACGTCAGAATATTGATTACTATCAAATTAATAAACCAAAAAATTGTTTATTGATACAAATTAATTACTAAAATTACCTGATACTTTTTTAAATTTTGTATTGTTTTATTATCAAATATCAATCCATTAAAGTCAATGACATTTATTTGTACTTTTTAGTTGACAGTTAGAGTGAGGTTTTAAAAATAACCATAAGTATTAAAATATTATTTTTTCTAAATAAACTACTTAGTAATGATTAATTAACATAAATAACTGAAACTTTAAAATGTTAGCAGAATAAAACATAATAGATTTAATTATTTTATGCATTATACTAAATTGAATTTCTTGATAGTAATTCTATAACCAGTATCAATATCATAATCTAAATCAGTAGCAATAAACCCATAGAAGGTTTAAAAATTTAATAGTGTGACATTTTTATCTTTATTGGGTCCGATAGCAATAGCATGGACATTAGGCACACATTATCAATACGGGTAATCAATTGACCGACTCAACCAATTTTTATAAAACGTTATATTATTAAAAAAAATTTTTTTGTTATAAATATATTTTTCCATGTAATTATAAAAAAATATATTGTATTAAAATATAATCATTAAATCTGAATGTATTATTATTAAAATGTATGTGGTCCACTCTTTACAAGAGGTTGGACACCTCTGATCTAAATTATAGTGTATAGACAACATTAGTCATTACTCACTTTTTTAAACCATAATTGATACAGTATATTTAGTGTTGTTCGTATTGATTTTTTATGTTTATATTAATAAGTAATATTAGTGATTACCCTAACACAATGCAACAGATTAAAACCAATCTTATTAAATTATAAAAGAATCAAATCTCAGATTTATTTAATTCATTTTGGTTTAGTATGGATAAATAAAAATACAGTAGTTTGTTTCGAAAAATTATTTTTATATCGCTTATTTAGTTGGTATAGCGAATCATGTTCAAGCAAATATATTGCAAATGACAGTATCATTAAACCATTTATTTGCTTAAAATTTTTCTTCCTCAAGTCCGTGTTTGAACAACATCAACACTGGTACATTGTCGTCACCAATGTCTCTGTATTCAAGCATAGCTACCATGCCGTTCTCGATATCCATATTTTCACCTGTGAAGAACTGGAGGTCTTTAAATCTTGTGAGCAGATCTTTCATAACCTTTGTAAAACAAAACAGACGGTATTAACAGTGGTAAAAATAACTACTCAGCACATTGTATTAAGGCAACACAATATAGCCAGATCTTGCATACAATAAAAAGACCCATTAAACTCACTTTGTTAATATTGGTTTTGAAGACATCCACTTCGGTACTACCATTCTCGACCATCTTGTCCACTAACCGTTTCATGTACTCTTTAAGGTATAGAGTGAAAGATTTCTTATCCGGGAATGCGTATGTCTCCATCAGACGATGATTGAGTACTACGTCCACACCGCTTTCTACGGCCTCATCATTGTCTTCACTGGCCTCTTCAGCAGATGGATTGGCGCCGTCAAGCGTCACATCGCCCACTTTTCGTGTAATCAGCTTTCCGTATACCTCGTACAAGACGCCGTCAACGAGTTTGAACTTGTAGGTGTCCGAGAACATCTCGTCACCAGAGAAAATATCTTTAAAGATCTTCATTATTAAAAATAGATGACCGGAGATGAACGATAAAAAAATAAAAACGACAGACGGTTACTGACACGCGGCCAGGGCAGTGGAAAGAGGGCAAAAGACCCGAAGTACAAAAGAATTCGTCTAAAAAGGAATAACGTGGAATTTATCACTTAGATATCATTAACATTTTTTGATTTGTCTATGTTCGATTGCAAAGAGGTTGGATAATACAATCAGTTTGTGTTACATGAAATCTCTGTAGTTTTATGGCGGGAAATTTATTGATATCGTCAATCGTGTCTATTTAGTATTTTTTAATTTTGCATCTTTACATGCTAGAAATTTTGATGTATTCATAACTTCACTTACTGGGCTCATATTGTAATGTTCTATACATACAATAATGTTAATAATATATTATTGAGTTACTTGAAAGCTGAATATATTCAATTGTATATGACACGGTTAAAAACACAATACATTTATTATTTTAATCTACGCTACCTACTGAATTTTAAGATCTAACATTTTCATAAAAATGGCCAAGAAATGAAAATTGTCAATTCTTTTAAATAATAAATTCTCAATAGTTTTGGTTTAGGCTTTAAATTAACTAAACGATAAACATTAAAATATAATTATGATTTTCATTTCTATTGTCATATGATAGTATTATGTTAAGTTATAAATACTTACCAAAAGTGGCGTATTTTGGGTAATTCTTCGGAGCTGTATTTAAAATTCTCTTTTTAACCTAGGAAAATTTGAATAATTCCTAGATATTCTAGATAAACTGTAAATTTCGCTTAAAAATATTCCTTAAAACATGGCGTCAGATCTAGTTAATTACCTAATTTAATTTTTCTTTTAAGTGCCTCCAATGAGCGACTTCTTATCTCCCGCCACTCAAGCCATTTCACCTCCATCACATACGCTTATTATAAAATAATATCTACAGATTGTGTATTTTAATAATAAATGATAAAAAAAAAAAATTAATTTCATTTTTGCAATTTGAATATAAATATTATAATAGGCATGAATAATACATTGTGAATTGAGATAAATTGAACTATTTATTTTTTTTTTAAGTCGCGGGTATTCAAATATTAAGTACATCCTTCCCCTTTCCTCCAAAAAAGAAATAATAATAATAATAATAAAAAAAATACTCCACTGCTTACCTATAAAATATCAATACTATATACACCACAGTAAACGGCTTTTATAAAAAATATTGATACCTATATTATCTATTGCTTTTAAAAAAATTTCCTAGAATTAAACTGTTTTCCAGAAAACATCAGGAATATCTTACGAAAGAAAAGTACCGTTTCGCGGTATTTTACATTTTTTCAAGTTAATTATTGTTACTACAAAAAAAAAGTACCTATTGCGTCCAAGTGTTACTACAGGCCACTGAGTATAGTTACTCTTTTCAAGTTTTCATGTTCTGTAAATTATTTTGTTTTTACTTTTATGCTTATTGTCTTTTGTTATAGATTGTATATATTAAAAAATATAAGTACTTCATAATTTTTTAGCATGCTGTAAGTATTAAGTCTTAGTTATCAGATTTCAGGATATTTTTCCATAAATTAATATTAATATAGTATATATATTTTTTTAAATTACCTCTTATTTTTTTTACCATTTATTTAATTTAAAGGGAATTAATGAACTCTGGTGGGTTGGGATGCGTGGTGTATATACTATTATAGGTATATATATATATATATACATAGACATTTTTAGTAGGTATTTCAGATGTCACCGGCGCTATAGTTTACATATGTAACCTATATATATATAATATATTAATGATACAGCACATTTCATTAGCCGTGGTGCAACTGTGTAAGTCGTAAGATATTAAAATTAAACTTCTTAGTTCATATTATTAGGGCATTGGGTGCGACACGCTCGCAAACCATACTTATTAATTTATTACAATTATTATATTATACTATAAATTACAATGGTTTGACTGACATTGAATGTTGGTAAACCAGCTAGAATGCTAGATTTAAAAATTATTCATTAAATTAAAAGTGTCATTAAACTTGTTATACATTTTTCTACGCTTAGCCGTTTTTAGTAGTTTAACAGTAAACCAGTAAAGCTATATATTTAATAATTTAGTATTATAACTTATAAGTTATAACTATACTGTAAAAGTAAAATAATTTTTTGGTTTTTATGAAGTTTATAATAGTAAAATGTCTCTGTATCTAATAATGCCTATCTTCAAACAGTTCAAACCAATTTTCCTTAACATTAGCGTAAAACAATAGTTTATTGTAATCTACGCTATGTGATCGCTATGGTCTATGGACTATGGAGTATGGATGATGATTGATGAGTCATATTTTGTTACCGTAACTAACACTCGTTCAATTTAGGACTCTTATATCAGAATCACAGTCCCTACCTAATGTACCCTCTGTGTTATTTATTATAAACTAAAAAATATCCATAGAGTAATATTACTCTATGTAAATATCACACCCTCATTAACTGCAGTGTGGGCGAATGATATGATTTTTACAACTTATTAATTAATTATCCAGTTTTTTCCTTAAGCTAAGATTAAAAAGATAATTTACTTTCTTTTACACCCGTTTTTAATTTATTAATTTATTTATTTTCAATTATTTAATTCTATCTAAATTATATTCTTAAAACTGGTTTTAAAATAAAACCATCTATAATTAGTCGTAATAACATGTAATAACCGCAACTAATTTTTGTAACTAACAATCGTTATTTATTGGTTTATTCCCGAATATGTAACGGTTAAAATCTAATAATTTTTATTTATATTTCAGTATTTCACTAAAATAAAAAAAATCTATACAGGCGTTATTGATTAAATATAAATTAAAATAATAGATTTTAAATAAAGTGATTATTTTCTAGAACAATATTTTAATATATTTTAGTATTTTTATATTATATTATGTACCTACTTGTGCTCTAACAAATTACAACTATGAATTCTTATTACGTAAAAAGATTAGAGGTTGAATAGCAATTTAAAAAATTAAATAATACATCAAAATGAAATGAGCTGATAAATAATAATAAATGTCAAATGCTCACTCAATAGTCAATATATACTTTATAGTTTGAAAAATGTAATATATTGGTACCAAAATGTACTCTACATGTACATTGTATACGTACTGTTATTTGGTTACTATTTTATTAAAATTATATTGAGTTACTGCTTTTTATATAAAAAAAAAATGCAACTGTAATTGTTCTTTGATTGATTAATTTTCATTTTTCTAAAAAAAAAAAATTAAAAATAAAACTTCAACATTTTTTATTTAAATAACCATTTAAAAATCAATTTTGCAACGATATATTCTCGTTTTTACAGTGCTTATGGAAAATAAAAATATTTAATTATCCAATAATGTTTTGAACTACCTTAACTAGATATAAGTATATAACTATGTACAAAAGGAACAAACGAGTTTATGTTAAGATTTTCAACATTTTAATAATAATTTTACTAATTTTATAAGATAAAATCAGAAATAACAAAAAATAATTATTAAATATGATCATATACATGTTATATGTATTATTTTGCAACCTGAATAAAAGTTAAGGTAAAAATCCGACAGGAAAAAACAATAAGGATAATAGAAACGAGGCAATAAAAAACCTCAGTGAAAAATATTATTGGTTTAAAGCTTAGAGATATAACTGTTTTATAGATAGGTATTTCAAGTTTAGATGAATAGAGTTGGTAGTGGACATTAGACTAAACTTTTTTGGAATACCTAAGACCCTTGTGCCATTATTTTCGATCATTGAGCTTTAATAATAATTTATAACTATAGTGGTTAATTATTAATCAACTAGATCAGGGGTCGGCAACCCGCGGCCCGCAGAGCAATTTTTGATGGCCCGCACAAAGGTGGTTAATTTTTGTGTTTTACTTTTGTTCAATAACATTTTTCATATAATTTTCAATATTATATAATTCTTTTTCCTTTATAAATAAAATCTAATCTAACCGTTTCATAATAGCAATACAATTATAAGTATTATATCATAATATGTAATTTTTTTTTTTTAATGTGGCCCTTGATGAACATTTGAAAAAAAAATGGCCCGTGTGGTTAAAAAGGTTGCCGACCCCTGAACTAGATACTCGTTCGAAATTATATTTGCATATTTCAAAATGTAGTAAGAATATTCTGTTTTGAAATATGAAATTTAAAATGTATGCTGATATTAAAAAAGTAGATACAAAAAAAGCTGATATAAAAAAGCAAAAATAAATTTAAAAAAAAGTTGTTTTGTAATGACTTCAAATAACAACATTTAAATTTCCAAAAACTTTAATACTTTTCAATTTTGTACACAATACCTTAGGACTAAGATTCATTTTTTTTTGTTGACTGAGAGTTGAATCAGGTCATGTCAGTATAAATATGTTTTATTGTTCAGCCAATGACCAAGATTGGGATTTTAAATTACACTTAAAATTGCATAAATATGACTTTAAACATGAGTAAATATGCGTTAAAAATAACAAAAAATGCAAAAAAACGGAAATATAATAGAGTATACTTTTAATGCTTTCAATACATGTTCGATGATAATCGGCAATCGCAGTCGTTATCAATAGAAAAAAACCCCAACAAAATCAGCAGATAACTAGTTTAATCGCGTCGCATCAGGGTGTTTTGTATATTTGGTATGTAAATTTAATTTATTATCTATATTCTATTTATTTAATTTGACAATAATTTAGAGATACGTTTATTGAAATATAAATTCATAGAATATGACCAATTTTGATTCAAAAACAGGTAAAAATGCAAAACGTCTCAAAAGTCTAAAAATAGCACTAAAATCCAAAAATTGCAAAGTATCTATGCAAAACCAAATTTTTAATTTAAGTTCTTTGTATCATAAAATGCATTTTCAGCTTATTCTGCTATTTCTTAAGCGTCGCATAAGATATATGCAAATGCTATAAAATCCCAATCCTGGTAATGACT